GGAGCAGAAGTTCTGAACCATTGAAGGGTCTCTCTAATATCTCTTCCTGCCCATTCTCAATGTCTTTTCCATGATCTAAGTGCTGCTGCCTTCTTGTTTCCTGGTGGGTCTCCCTGTTCTGGGCTGGGGGAGAGGGGCTTTGACTTTCTCCCCCAGAGATAAACTTTCAAGGATGGCAGCTGAAGCCCCCACGGGTGAGAAGGAAGATGGGATTAAGGTCCTTTCTGCACTGGGATCAGAGCCAGACCAGCCACAGCCTGTGTGAAATTTGGCTTCAGCTAGAACCATGTTGCGGCCAAGTCCTTATGGCGGTATAGGCAGAGGTAGAGGACTGTCTACTCTGTAAATGTGTCCCCCACCCCAAACACAAGCCCTCCCTGATCCTGCAGACATGTGCTCCATGCTCACCTGCTTCCCTCCTGCCTGCTTCACATTCCAAATTCCGTGTCAGGTTCGGGGAGGCTGGGGCCTGGTGGGATACCTGGCTCTGGTCATTTGGATGCAGTGGGATATTGTGATTAGAGCAAAAAAGGAGGGCGTGGATCTTAGTGAGAGAAGGAAGCCGTCACCATGAGACACTCCAATTAGTCCCCGTGTGGGTTCCCAGCTTCTGCCCTGTATTTCCCTAACAGCGAGCTAGGAGCCAGGGGCGGTCTTTGCATCCCACATAAAAGAAAGACACATCCCCCTGAGCCTCTCTCCATGGTCCTGACGCGGCGCAGACAGCGCGGCCCATTCCTGTGGGTCAGACACAGAGAGACCTCGGGGAACGTGCTTTGCCAAACACCTCCGGTCTCTGCTTCTTTCTCTGTCTGGGGGAGAACTCACACACAACCTGTTTTAGGCATTAGCGGGGCCCATGCTCGTCCTGCCCTGCCCCCAGAAGCACGGGAAATACCCACAGACTGCCCGAGGAAGGAAGGTGCAGTGGGAGACAGGGAGTTAGGTGCAGAAGTTCACCAAGTGGAAAGGATCGTAGAATATCAGTTCGGACAGGGCACAGGGTAGCTATGTGCTGCAGAGGAATCTGGAAAAGCCGCTCTACTCTGGTGCTACCCTTCATACTGGCCAGTCTCCCCCTCCCTGTGTCCAGTCAGGATCTCTTCCCATGCAACGGGAATCAAGCGCTGCACTGTACCTAGGGGAACTCTAATATGGTCCTCCTTCGACATAGATCCCCCCCGCGCCCCAGCTTCAGCCCACAGCATGATTTCTGCTGCCCGGGAGTGAGAAAAATACCTTCTTCCCCCAGCTCAGTGTTACACTGCCAGAACCAGACTGCCAGATGCTATGTGTAAACCTGAAAGGAATTAGCTGCTTAAATCATTGCTTTACTATGAACCATTTATATTACAGTAGATGCCTACGGGCTTAGGCTCTGTAGTGCTGGGATCTGACCAAACAGAAAATGAGACAGTCCCAGCCCCAGAGAGTTTACAATCTGATTCCATAGGGACACAAAATATGAGACCCTCTAACATGGGACTCTAATTCAGGGGTGCTCACAACAATTCTTTTGGTGGCCTCAGAGTGCAGCCACCAACTCTTGCGGGTGGCTGTTGTGACAATTCTTCCTAAAATACTTAATTAACTTTCGGAAAAACAAATCAAAATGCACAGATACACCTCCAAATCATTGTAATTTATTTATGTACAGCTTTTTGGGGGGGGGGGTTGAAAACTCAATAATACAAATAATGTACAGTTGTCTCTATTCTTTACTGGACCCAAAAAGAATAGACACAAAAATAAGGGTTTTTGCATATTCTTGTCTTTTGTTGTTCTTGCTTTTGCTTTTTTGGTTGCTTTTTGTAGACTTGCTAGCTAGTAAGTCTGCTGCTATGAAAAATGATGTTTGTATGTTGTTAATATCACTTTTCACTGCCTCCCAGCTTGCTAGCAAGTCTGCTGCTATGAAAAGTGATATTAACAAGCATACAAATATAACTTTTCACAGCAAATTTACAAAGCTCTGGCAAGTTGTAGGACAAATTAAGCTCTGGATGGGGAGGTGGGTAGCGAGGCAGCAGGGGCCAGGGTGATGGTTGGGGGGGAGGGGCTGGAGGAGGCAGTAGGGCCAGGGGCAATGGGCTGGGGGAGGCAGTGGGGCCCAGCCTGTCCGGACTGAAGCCCTTTGACTAGGGACCAGAGCCTGCTGCCCCATGGCTGGAGCCTGCCGCCCACAACCTGCCACCGCAGGCCTGAAGCCAGAAGCCCGCGCTCCACCAGCCCCAGGAAGGTGGGGAACTCACACCGACTGCCTGCTCCTCCAGCATTTCTGGCTCCAGAGCGGGGCAGGACCCGACCCCTGCTGGTGGCCCTTGGGGAGGGTCACTGCTTCCCTCCCCTCCTCCACCAATCACTGCCCAGGAGCCTGTGCCTGCAAGAAAAGCCCCTGCTGACTGCAGTGGCCACAGGTCGCAAACGCTGCTCAAATTATAATGAATCCAGCTGAGGGTAACCTAGTGTCGATGGAAGTAAACCCTGTTTAACAGGATCACTCTGAGATGGACTGTCCTGCTGCAGCATCTCTGGAGGCCCAGCAGCCTTTGGACAGTGGAAGTTTACATAGTTCACAGCATGAATTTCTAGCTCCCCTGGGAATGAGGGAAACCTGCTGGCTGGCCTGATGCTGAGCCACCTGCCTGAAGCTGCCGATAGAGAGACACAGGCTAAGTTCGGGTCTGTGTTCTCGTGCTATAAATCTGGAGCCGCACCTTTGAAACCAATGCACTTACATCAGATTGACACAATCTGGCCCAGAAGCTTTCTAGTGCCATTTACAAGGCTCCATTCCTGGAGGTGTAACAGGAATAAGGGAAATCACTGAGAGCAGGATGGCCCCATCCATGGGACACTGCTGGGAAGACCAGTGACATGGGCTTGTGATGGGGTATTTGGGCTAGATTCACAAAGGTATTTAGCCATCTAAGACCCAGCTTTAGGCTCCACTGTAATGCAGCAAACATCTGCCAACCACTGTAGGTGTCTGAACTCATTCAGCACATACATTTTCAGGGTAAAAGTTCCCTCAGCACCAAAGTTTCTGCCTCTGAGAATGCACTTTGCTGCCTGGCTCAAGGCCAGTGCTTCCCAAATAGTGAGTCCCAACAAGGTTCTAGAATAGTTGCAGGGACCCAGGCAATCACACACTTCTCACAGCCTGGTGCAGAAGGGAGGCCAGAGGCAGATAGCAAGCCACACACACTCACCCCACAGCAGCAACTTCTATCCCATGGGGCTGGGCCTGTCTCCCTGCTCCAAGCATGAGTGGCCCTGCGACTCCACACACCGGGTCACAACACTGGGCACTCACTCTCATTTGGCTCAGATATCTCTCTGTCAATGCCTGAGGCTATGTCTACACTAGAAACACTAGAGCAGCACAGTTGCACTGCTGTAGCGTGGACACTGCCGTGATGGAAGGGGTTCTTCCATTGCTATAGAAAATCCACCTCTCCGCGAGGCAGTAGCTAGGTCAATGGTGGAATTCTTCCACGGACCTAGCGCTGTCGGCCCTGGGGGCTTGTCTTCATGTACAGTGCTAGAGGCGCAGCTGCATGGCTGTAGCACTTTAGTGAAGACACTACTATGTCGACCAGAAAGCTTCTCCCATCGGCATCGTTAATCCAACTCCCTGAGAGGCAGCAGCTGTGTCGGCAGGAGAAACTCTCCTGTTTGACATAGCACTGTCCACACTGGGGGTTAGGTAAGTAGACCTTCTTCCCTCAGGGGTGTTTATTTGTAGTGATACCAATACAGGTCTGTACTGTAGACCTGGCCTGGGGTTTAGATTAGCTTAACTACATCTCTCAGGGCTATGATCTTTTCATATCACTGAGCGAGATATCTGTGGCACTATGCACCCTGGTCTAATGTGTTCAAAACTGCTCACTCCAGTCCCCTCAGGAATTTCTCAGGCTTGGCCAGCTGCATCTGGGGTGGCTATTACACGCAAAGGCGTCCCTTGTTGGGTTATTTCCTTAGTGGTCCCGGTGGCGATTATTTTGTGAGATCGCTGCCCTTGGCTTTGACGAGGCAGAATATTGTAAATATTGAAGTGTTTGTTTTAAAGACCTGTGTATTACATCAATGAGGATGTTTCAAGTTTTGGGTCACAGGTAGGGCAGGCAATTAAAATAGATTCACTATGGCTGTACAGTCTCTCCTGGGTCAGAGCTTGCCATCCCACTGTTGTGAGGATGAAGGTTGGGGATTAGGGAACACAGCTCCCATTAGAATCCATGAGAAAACCAGGGATACGCATTAGTAGAGGAAGTGATGTGATTAGTATAATCCTCATCAATGCTGATTTTTTTTCCCACGGCAATAGCCATTGAATGTAAATAACAAAGTTTAGTTTCTTTTAAGATACAGGTAATGATCAGAAATATCTTTCTGTACCAGGGCAGCTTCCCTTGCATGTGACTCAGCAGAATTTCTGTTCCTGGGAGAGGGGAAGCCTGATCACGTTAGCAGATAATGAGATCACTGACTGGTGTGAAGTTCAGGTCCAACAGCCCCTTTCTTTTTACAGACATGCCGTGGCCAAACCCTGCCTGCATGGGCATGAGCACCATGCTAGCTGCAGGACTTGATTAGAGAAAGCCCCTCCATGGGCAGTCTCTTTGGTTCACAACCTCTGCCACCAGCCCAACTGATGCTGCTCCTGTGAAGTTTGTGGTTCAGGGCCTCAGTGAAGCAAGTTTGCTCCCACTGCCCTTGGCAGGATTATTATGATCAGCAAATCTTTGGGAATTAAAGAAGAGACACTGTGAAAGACGCTCCCCTGCCCCAGTTATGGCTGAACCCTGCCATAGGTAGGGGCTGGGAGAGGGGCTAGCATTGTGACACCAGCACTTCTGGTAAACCCACACAACTGATATTGGCCCATTTGTGGGTTTTGGGAGGGAAGGGGGATTTTAATTGTTTGTGATGAGGAGAGGTTATGAGGGTTGGACCTAATTATAGCTCAGGAACTGTACAAGAAACACTCCCAGTATTATTTAAAACTAGTTTATTATAAATTAGCAAAATCACAATAAGACAATGGATTCACTCTAACAGCAGAAAAGCACCACTGAAATGAGAGAGACCCTCCCAGCATTCTGCAAACACTTAAACCACAGCTCTTTCCCTCTCCCTCTGCCCAGCTTTTCGCTTAGTCTGAAGGAATCTTGGTGTTTTCATGAGTGAAGAGTGTCAGAGATTCCTCGGGAGTGAAAGAGCCTGAGAACTCCCCGACTCAGGCTGGGAAACAGAGCCAGTGGGGAGTCCAGACAGGAAAGCTGAAGTTACTCCCTGGGTGTCAACATGTGTCAATGAAGAGAGCAGAGTGATTAACAGTGACAGCTCCAGAGACTCCATGGACTGAACCTGGGGGTAGAGGAGGAAGTAGAGTCAATAGCCACTGGTTGCACAGCAGGGGGAGAGGTTCCTAGGCTGGTTTCTGGGGCCTGTGTGTTGTAGCCCTGGAACTACAGCTGGGAGCTGGCTGGAGGGGAGCCCGGTCAATTCTGGAATCAATGCAGAGCTTGCTGGTCCCTGCAGAGCCCATTGCATCCCTGGATCAGGTCCTGGGGATCCAGGAAGTGCTGGCCAATGAAACAGGGAGAATGGATCACTGCAGGAGTGTGCACAGCACTGGGTCTGTAGGGAAGAGAAAGCAGAACATTTAATCACAACCCAGAGAGCCCAGAGCCCTGCACTGATCCCCAGGGCTCAGCTCTCTTCACTGCTAGCAGCACTAATAGCCCTGTCCTGGATATTTCTGTAGGCTCTTCTGTCCCAGAGGATCCCAAGGGGACTTGCAGGTGGTGAATCTACTTGCACCTGGGATGCTTTGAGGGGAGAAATCTGACTCTTCAACGGGTTCCAATGGCCCATAAACCAGCCCCCAACAAACCTGACAGGGCAGGAAAGGAACAGCCCAGAGGGAGATCAGTGTAATGCTAAGATCTCAGCAGGTTCCCAGCACTTCACAGGCCAGGCTCCAACTCCTGGTGCTCAGTGTAGCTACACTGTACTCACTGGAACTGCCCGGCTTTACACACGCTGGGGATCTGGCCCTGTGTTTCCAAAGCGCTGACCAAACACCAGTGAATTTCCCCTCACACCATCCCTGTGGAAAAGGCCCAGAGTGCCCGTGTGTCTGTTGGCAGGTGTGAGCAGGTGTCTGCTCCTTGGGGTGTCTCGCTGTCTGAGTGTCTCTGTGGATGAGTGGAGGTGTGGGTGGGGGACACTCAGCGTGTGTCTGAGGGGGTGATTGGGACTGTGTTTGTGTGTGTGTGTAGCTCTCAAGCTCTCACCTGCAGGGTACAGAGGCTGCTCCCAGGTGTCCCGTCTCCAGTGTAAAGTCTCCAGTGCTTCCCTCTTCTATTCTGGAACGAAATCCAGATCTGGAATTGGAGAGAAGAGGGACTGAAGGAGCTGCTGGCAGAGAAGGAACCTCAGGGACCCCTCGATTCCTGTTCCTTTTACCCTCCCTCCTGAGAGGCTTTGAAAAAGCCTGTTCCCCTCCCCAGGCCTTGAGAAGAAGGGAGGAGTTCTGTGTCCAACAGCGGATCTCGATGGCCCTGAATGAAGAATGGGAGGCAGGGACAGAGGGAAGGATCCTTCACTGCTTTCCGGTTGGATGAAAGATTCTCACACCCTCCCCCCCCCCCCCCCCAACAGACCCTTTCCCCTGCTCCGTCCAGGTCACAGAAACTGTCCTCCCAGCCCCAGTACCTCCAGACCCACTGTCAGCACCTTTCTGAGTGACAGAGACCCCAGCACCACTCCACTCCCCCAACCCTCTGCTATGGCTCCCTATTGTGCCCTGGCTGTAGAAACCATTTTCTAGAAATGCAAAATGTCTCTTAAGCAGAGAGAGGAGAATCCAGAGCCGCAGAGAGAGGGGTTGGATGTACCTGGTGGCAGGTGAGTCCCATCATCCCCAACAGCATTTCAGCCTCAGGCAGGTTGAGATATTTCTTTCCATGGATGTGCAGCTGATTCCAATGAACGTCAAAAAGTTGTTGATCCTTTCTGCTTAGTGTTTCTGCAATGTTGGATTCCTTCTGATTCTGCCAAGCCTGAACTTTCATTACCAAAGGAAATGTAGAGTTTCGGCCACCACTTTGAAAGCAGCTGTGTGTTGCATGGTTTATTCAGCCTTGCAGAAATTGCAAACAGCAGCCGGAAAGGTGACAGTTTGTCTCATCTTCCACCCAATGCACTGTTAACTCTGCCTCCTAATTCATTTCGATGAGGTGAGAATTCCAGCGGCACCCCCTCCCCAGCGCAGTCCTGTCAAGAAGGGGGTAGTTCAAAGGTGGCTGTGATGAATCCCAGGTATTCACAGACCAGATTTTCTGGCATTTTTAATCTTTGCAGTGCTTGATCTGGCAACCTGAATATCTGACTGGTAAGGCGGGTTTTTTGATGTACTAACAGCTTCCCTTGGAAAGGTCTCAGGTGTGATGCGATTAGCTCCGTGCTCATCTGAATCCCCGGCTGAGTTCAGCAAAGCCTGTCACAGAAGTTGAACGGGTGATTCATTTCGCGGCTGATGTGATTGTCCTTCCCCCCAGGACTAAGGGCCAGTGGAAGGGGAGGCCGGCTGCGGGGAGAAGGGGAAAATAAAGGAGGAGGTCAATGCATCGATTGCACGTGTGACGCACAAACGTGGTGGGATGTGCGGAGGTAAAAGCCGCCGGCACAAGAATGGGAAGCAGCCTTAGTGCCGCGTGGCCTGGGGGCTCTCAGGCGGGAGCTGCCCTCCCTGGGCCTCGCCCTTCACGGCACGTGCAGCCATTTTCCAGGCGCTACGTCATTCCTCTTCGCATGTCCCGCCGTGTTCCCGAGCCCTGGCAGCCAGCCTCCTCAGGGACACCGCCCCGCCAGGGTGACAGCGCGGGAGAGGGCTCAGACCGCAGCCTGGCCCGCAGGGACACCGGGGCGGGCGCCCTGCCGGGCCGGGGGGCCCGGTGCGCAGCGCGGAGGCGCAGGGGCTCCGCCGCCTGGCGAGACCCACCAGGTCCCGGCCCGGAGCCACGGTGCCCGGGCGACGCGGGCCGAGCCGAGCCGCGCTCTGGGGACCTCCCCGTGGCCTGGCCCAGGGACCCGGCCGCGGAGCTGAGGGGCGCCGGCAGGCTCGGGCGCATCCCAGCAGAGGGCGACGTAGCCCGTCGCCCGCCCGCCGGCTCCGTGCGCGCCCGGGGGAGCTCGGGTCACCAGCGCGGGCTCCCGTAACCTGGGGGACCCGGGTCTCTGCCGGGTGCCCTGGGGAGGGGGTTCCCGGCCTCATCCTCCCCGGGGGGCGGCTGTCCCCACCCCAGCACGTGGGGCTTTCTCAGCGCAGGGTCGGTGCAGCAGCCGCGGCAGGCTCCACTCTTGCGCCAGGCCACGTTGTGTCTGGCGTTGCTGGGGAGATGGCGCCAGGACCGCGAGTTGCAGCTGAGCATTTTGACCTTGGCCTTTGGGAGGCCGGCTGTCCGAGACCCCAGGGCATGGCCACGAGTTAAGTCCAGGGGATGGAGGGCCATAAGGGTGAGGCGGTCTCCCTGCTGTAGGCCTAAGGGCTTCTTTTCAACCCCCCCTTAACAGAACTCAGGCCTGGCTGGTTTGAGTAAGCTCTTTTGCTCTTAAAACAATGTTGCAGCGGCAGAGAATGCCTCATAGTGTAAGGTTTGCTGATGCCAAGTTAAAGATAACAGGAGAGAGCTACAAGGCCAGGCAGGATGTGCTGGTTGTTTAAGTTGCTAGGAATGCTTGTTAGAGGTTGCGGGAAATACACATTGTTGTAACCCGTATAAGGAAGGCAGAGCATTTGTGCAAAGCTTCGATTGGCTGATGTGTAGTGCAGCAGCATTAAGGAATATAAAAGTGTGTGTAATGACCTGCTCTGATGTGCAGGATTTGAGATTCTATTCTCCCTGTACCTTGGTTGCAGCTGCAAATAAACTTTTCTGCTTCTCCACCCCGTTGTGATTATTGGGTGACACACACCGGGCAACGCACCCCTGCAGTTGTTTGCCTCTGGCGCTGGGTGCCGGCAACAAGGCAGACCCCGACTACAGTGCGATCGCTGTGCTGGCTCGGCCCTGGCTCGGCCCCTGGCCCTCACTGAGAAGCGGGTGAAATCAGCCTCTCCTGCTGGGGCGTCTCCCTCCTCTGTCTCCGCCTCCCAAAGTCAGGACAAACTGATGCTGTAGCAGTTCCTTTGAGGAAGATCAGGGGGAGGGAAATGGGGACCAGAGGGGTCATTACCCAGGCTTGCAAATGTGGTAGGTGACAGGTAACCATTCTCTCGACCCAGAAAGGGACTTGGCTTAGGGAGATTTCTGGCCAGCGGGGGTGTGGGGAACCTCTCCATCATTCTCTTCGTCTTGTACTTTTGCGTTCTTGCCTCCTAGTCTAAAACACACTATACAATATGACACTGTCCCTGTGGGGAAGAGGAGGGAGTGCAGTGGGCAGAGGGGATTGGCTCCCACTTCCATCAGCATCTCCTTCATCCCTTTCCTTCTGCCCTTCCAGGTGACCATGTGGTTCCACAATCAGCCAGAGCAGCACAGGAAGTGCTGATGGAGACGGAGCCTCTGAGGGGTGCTTCTGTATGGGGTAGCTGAGTCTGAGGGCTCTAGACCTACAAACTCCCCAGCACAGGCTCGCGTGCCCACACCTGAAAGCACAAGGGCCTGATCACTTCACAGTACCGAGCTGTGAGAGTGACACATTTCTGCTTGTCACTAGGGCCTGAATGCCAATGTTCACAAGTGTCTGATGGACAGTCTAGCCTCTGCCCATAACCCCTATGGAGGGAGATCTCTGGAGCAAGGGAGCTGGGCAGTGAGACAGCAAATAGGGGGATCTGACTTTGTGTTAGCCTATTAGTGGATATTGGCAGAGGGACAAATGGTGAAAGGGTACAAGGGGTGAGAGGGAACATTTAATACAGCTGTCCCCAGGCAGTTGTTGGTGCTCTTAGAAAGCTGTGGCCAATCTATTCCATGTTAATGCTGGGTTTTGAAATGAGCTGAATGAACCTGGAACAATGCCTGGCATTCACTAAATATCTATTAGTTAGATATGGGCATGTGTGTCTGAGATTGTTAGAGATCAGGCATTGCTTCAGCATCCGGCAAGGTGGTGCTGGGCTGCTGGACACTGCACTGATCACCAGCAGGTCAGTTCCAGGGTACTTTGTACAAGAATAAACCCAATGTTTTGCCCAAATGCCTCCTCACAGGTATTTCCATTTTGTCCCCCTGCAGTTCCATTCCTCCCTTCCTATGGCCCTTCACCAGAGTGACACTGGGGCAGAGTGGCTGCCATGTCCTGCCCCAGAAGTGGCTGCATTTCCGCAGGTGCCACATTCATCACTGGGGCCTCTTCCTTGTGGGATGAGGCTCAGATCTGCCCAGCTTCTGATTCAGTCTCTTCTTGTCTCACCAGGTGTGATGAAGTTCTAAATGCAAAGCATGATCTGGGTTTATTTTTTTAAATACCTCCCATATGGTCTAGCGGTTAGGATTCCTGGTTTTCACCCAGGCGGCCTGGGTTCAACTCCCAGTATGGGAAGTTTCACTTTTGATTTAGTTGGGGATTGGTCCTGCTTTGAGCAGGGGGTTGGACTAGATGACCGCCTGAGGTCCCTTCCAACCCTGAGATTCTATGATCTCATCCCCTGCCCCACCAGCCCTGCACTTCCAGGCATGATCAAGAGATGCAACAGCCTCCCCAGAGAGCAGCAAGCACCAGGAATACCTGGGTGGTGGGCAATGACCATCCTCATCCAGAGGTTCAGCAGCCAGCTTCCTACACTGACCATCCCCACGGGTAGCCCCTGCGATAACACTCAGAGGGCTCTCAGCAACCTATGAGCTATTGCCAGAATGAGATGCGGGGGAGCTGTCACTGCCACTGGATCCTGATCTGATCACAACTGAGCTCTAAAACTGCTACTGTGACTATTCGATCTCATGACTTTTACCCTCCTGTTACTCTCTTTTTCTCCACAGCCCTGCCTAAGGGCCATAGGTTCTCTCGAGGTTTGGGGTCACAGCCCCTGTCAGTGAGGTAGACACAGAAAAGACACAGACATTTTAAAAAAATCCTGCCTTGGCCAGAGAAAAAATAACACAGACCCAGGGCAGCTTCCACTGGGTTACCATATTTGAGAGGGGGTCTTATGCTGTACCCCTATGGCATAAGACTATAAACTCTCTGAGGCTGGGACTGTCTCCTTTTCAGTGCTTGTTCAGAGCTCAGCACCATACGGCCTTAGGCATCCACCATAATATGACTGTTTAATAATCAGCAAACAGTTTGAACTGCAACACACAGCAGCTGGCAGCCTGGTTCTATCAGAGTTACTGCTTTAGTGAAGTCACTACTGCGCCAACAGGAGAGCATGAATTGTGCTGTGGGCTGAACTTTGTGGGGCCTATGTAGTGGAAGAACCATATTAGAGTCCCAGAGGGAAGGCATTCTCTGTCTATATCAGTGAGACCAGTTGCACTGGGTGTCAAGCTGCCTGCAGTGGCTCAAAAGCATGAGTACCAATGTCAGGGCAGACTGTTAGGAAGCAGGGCACAAACCCCAAACTGGTTGTGAGTTTATACTTAGATTACCCCAACCAATTATTAAGTGTAAACTCCTCAGGCACTGTAACAGCCTAATCATGGAGTCACAGACAGTCCCCTTCAGTACTCCAATGTATTTTGGCACCCTTGTGAGCGTACTTTTGTGGTAGATCGTTCCTTACACCAAGAACCACAGCAATATTCAGGCCACTCCCAGTCCCAAAGGACTAGTCATTTACCCCAGGTCAATTAGATCTCACACTGAAGACAGCACTTGTTACCAATCTGATAATAAACTGTCTCAAGATTCATTAAATAGGAACAGGAAATAAGAGAGTTATTTCCAAGGTTAAAGCAGGTAAACAAAGAAACACAAATTCATTCTAATCTTGAGTTTCAAAAGGTAATAGGGCCCTAGAGCCCAGGCTTCCGCCCAAGCCTGGAAGTGTACACATCATGAAACAGCCCCACAGCCCAAGCCCCATGAGCCCGAGTCAGGTAGCATGGGCCAGCCACGAGTATCTAGGTGCTGTGTAGACAGACCCTTAGAATCAAAGACAGTTTCCCTGGCTATTAAGTTAACATGAACTACAATCACTATAGGAAATCTCTACACACCCAGCACATTCAGTGTCTGAGCTGCACCCCTAACTGTGGCAGTGCTCAGTGAGTGTCACTCCAGAGGACTGGGCTGAGAGCCAATCCCGAGGAGATCCTGCATCTACAACAACAGGGATGGCTGCTGCACTCAGCATGGAGTTAAAATTCCATGAAGGAACACATGGCTCATTGGCCAATCCAACTTTTAGATCCACTGGGATTTGTAGGAAAAAATATTCGAAAAAGATCGAGATCTAGACAGAAAATCCCCATTGTGACGGTAAAGAAATAACCCAACAGGAAAAGTCTCCCACTCCAATATTAGTCTCAGTTGTACCTGGTCAGGCCCCAAGAAAGGTGGGGTGTCAGGTGGCGTCAGTGTCTTGTAGAAGCAGCATATCTTTGGTGACACATCAGACTGACAATTGGCCAGCCTTGCCTTCAGGTACGCCTGCCTCAGCTCCTTGATCTTAGCACGGCACCGCTCTGTGTTCCTTTCTTGCCCCTTCTCCTCCAGGCCATGAGAAATCTGTCCAGAGGAATCAAAGTTCCTACAGCTGGAGCGGAGCTGCGACTGCACAACCTTCTCTCCCCACAGAGCCAGCAGATCCAACAACTCCGGTGTACACCAAGCACAAGAGTGTTTGCTGCAGGGAGCCGGCACTGTCAGCTGGGAAGACAGCTGCGATGTGAGCTGTTCAGGAGGAGCAAACAGGAAGTGGAATTTCAAAAATTCTCAAGCCTTTAAAGGGGGGAGAGGCATATGCCTGTGTAACTGGCTGCAGGGCAGCGGAGTTCAAAATGGTGACCAAAGTGGTCAAGATGGGCATTCTGAGACACCTCCTAGCGCCCTCTTGTGGCGACATAAGAAACACAGGATCCGTTGCTCTAACTACATCACAAAAAGCTCTATGCTGCTCGTCGAGGTGGTTTTATGATATCGGCGGAGCAGGAGAGCTAGATCAGCGGGAGAAGCATTTCAGCGTGTACCTCCACTGTTTTGTTGACGAAAGCTGACTTTTCTCGACAAAACTGTATAGTATCCTAAGTGTGTTAGCTTTGAGGTACCTGACTTGACACTTTAAGAGGATGCTGACTTTCCAAAAGTGCTGAGCCACTGCTCTGTGAAAATCAGGCCTTTTTGAAAAAACGTGTCACCTGCAGAGCACCTCAGGTCAGTCCCGTTTGAAAATGTAGGCCCCAAATCCATGTTTTGGCACTTAATCGTGATAGGAGAATTTTTAGAGGTACCGAGTACCCACAACTTACCTTGAACTCCCAGTCACTTGGTCCTGCTCAGCGTGTGTTGAGGTGGAGGTGGGGGACACTGGGCTGGACTAGATGACTTCTGGAGGTTCCTTCCAGCCATATATTTCTATAATTCTACATAGCGTAACTTCCTAGACTACATTAATTGTGATTGCTGGGGTATTAAATCAAATTAAGTAACAGGTTTAATGAACCAAGTGTTAGATAATGTAGCTCACACTGATATCGTGCAGTAAACAACATTCTTAGCTCTTTAATTTTAAAGACAAGAAAATAATGTAAAGTATAAGGCAAGTGATCGCAAATTATGAAGGCAAGGAAACTTGGCAAAGAAAGTAATTATGTTAATAGTACAGTGTGAATTAAAGAGTTATTGCTTACATGAATAAATGAGCAATCCACAGGTTCTCAGGCATTAGGACATATTAACTCACTAACGACTGGCCAATTCCTAGGTCCCAAAATCTGAGGATCACAGGAGGTTTCCTGCAGGGGCAGGTGACATGTTATCATTGGGAGCAAGGCCTGAGCAGCCAGAAACTTTCCCTGATCCTTGACATTGGGGGGTTTCATGCAACAGACTAAACACAGCAGATGCTTACAGCCACTCTGCCTTTGTATAACGAACCTATATGTTAAATAATTACAAACACATGAGAGCACTCTGACCCATGGTGAATATTCTAACAATACTTCTAAATTAGTCTTACACCAGAAAACTTAGCAAACACTACAGCAAGCCACTGTGCAAACAACTGTTGACAAATCAATTACCCGCAGGCTGAAGGCCCCTTTAGAAGGTGGAAGAGAAGGTGAGTCATGAACAAAGTGGTGACTTTTTGTGAATCACATACTGCAGTCTACAAAAGCAGTGAGAGGTCACGGAGGGTGATGGCTCGTATGGTGTAATAGAGCAGCTTCCAGGCCAGAGCTTGGAGCAGTGTCTGATGGCACAGCCTCCAGGGATGTTTGCATTTGGACAGATAGTGAAGGTGACAGGGGTGAAGTTGAACACAGGGTGGGTAAATCCGCTGGAGATTGAATAGGATGGGATGGGACAGAGCTCTTTTGAAACTAGATGGCCTTTTTTCCACATACACTGGGAGGGTCACAGCTGCTGCTCAGAGTGGATGTAGAGTGGGTTTTACAGAGCAGGTTGCATAGGAAGGCTGTAGGTGACAACAAAAAGTGTGTCCCCACAGGGGGAAGTGGAGCCTGATCAGAAAAGCTGCGTCAGCAATCTTTCCTAATGAGCCGTTCCTCCCCCTTGCACTATCAACCATCCACTGCTACGGGGTCAGAGAGCATCTTGTAGCTGATCAGGAAGTAGGGGTAGCACTGGCAGTTGTCAGAGATCACATACACTTGGGTATTGCTTTTGCTGTTGACCCAGGAGTTGAAGAGCTGCCCACCAGGCACCACGGGCAGGGGGTGGCGGAAAAGTTTATGCCCAACAGCAGTCTTGCCCACCAGCACCTTGGCCAGGAACATGTAGCGTAGCCCGGCCTTGCTCGCCTGGCCGTGGCGGTGTGAATAGATGGCACTCTTGGAGAAATAGCAGCCCCTGCCGTAGATTGGGGCATGCAGCCTTGAGAAGCTGGGGTCAAAGTTGTTCTGGCAGATGGGCTCCAGGAAGTCAGCAGCACTCCCATAGAAGAGGTGCTTCTCCAGCTGGTGTTTCTCCTGCAGTGAACATGCATGGGACATGATGGCCTTCTTCCTGAAGGAGACACAAAGGGAAAAAAAGCAGGCTTAGATCCTGCCCAGAGGGGATGTTTGGGGAAACTTAGAGGCCTAACTCCCCCCAACTCCCTCCATCTCCACTTACTCAATAGATAAAGGCCAAAAGCTTGAATGGGAAAGACTTAGGGGGTCAGTCTTCCCCAGCCCTCAAGGATCCATCCAACAATGACACAAGTGCATCCAATGTCACTTGAGCAGATTAGGATCTGCCCACCACTGCACAAATATTCACATTCAAGTGCACTATCTGCACCAGTGCACATGCATGGACCCTGCAAACAACCCAGTGCACTAGGATCCATGCACCCATTCCCGAGGATGCATCCAAATATGCAAACTCCAGTGCAGCTGAATCTACCTACACTCCAGCACAAGGAATTGCCA